GAGAAAAATCGAAAAAACGAACTACAAACATATTAACGCCAAACATTCGGTAGAATTTATAGAATATTGTAAAAAATATATATGTATATATAAATATATAAAAAATATATATATATATAGGCCCTGTCGTATGGAACGGCTTGCCGTCAGCCCTCAAAATGCCTGGAATGAACATTGCTGACTTTAAAAGACAATTAAAGACATACCTTTTTTCATTATAGTTCATCTCTTTTCATTCTTGCTATTTTGTTATTAATATTAGTTATAATTTGATAGCGTTTGTGAAAACTGCTATAACGAACGCTATATTAAGTTTTCTATTAATAATATATATATATATATATATATATATATATATATGTCTTTTGAATAATGCTAACAATTCGGTAGAATTCATACACTATAGTATAAAATAGGGTCTCCTTTCAACATATGTATAAATATATGTGTGTGTTTGTGTGTGTGTGTATATATTTGAATATTATGTTATAATTATGACGTCACGATGTTATATAAATTATATTTTTAAAAATGCCAATATCAACATGTTTTTAGCGAGAGATTTTTATAACAACTTTAGTACTATATAGAAATTATAGGTTGAAAGGTTGTGAAGTTTTTCTTGAAATAAATGGCTCAATAGGCCCAGAATATGTGTTGAAGATAAAATTTTTTATATAATGTATAATAAAATTATATATTGTGTAATATGAATAAATAAATATACATTGATATATATGTGCCAAAGTATATTATATATATATATATATTAATAACTATACATGGATATGTATGGTATGGTATGATATGGTATGGAGAATTTATACAGCGCCCCTCTATGTAAAACTCAGAGGCGCTGTTCGAGAAGCTGCCGGTCAAAAAAGTTATGTTTAAGTCGTTTTCGGAACATGTCTCTTTCATCCATACTATCAACGACATCATCGGGCAGTTTATTCCAAACCTCCACTGCAGCCACGGAGAAACGACGCCGTCCATAATTTTCTGTCCTGAACCTAGGAACAACGAGCTTCTTTTTGGCCCCCGGCAGCCGTAGGGACAGGCACGATCAGCTGTTGAACCAACGATCAGCTGTCGAGAACCAAGCCCCATCAAACTGTCTCTGTGTATATATATGTATGTGTATATATATAATTTCTTATACTGGCATCTCAGTCTAATTTTAGTTCTATGGGTTTTTCCAAGCAATAATTCTTCCGAAAAGATTTGTATGCTTCAATAATTCTTCCGAAAAGATTTGTATGCTTTTTTCCTTTTTAAAATGTTGCAAAATTGCCAAAAAGAATTTAAACAAGCTAGAACGTTTTGCATTAATTTTGTAGCGACTTTTTCTCAGGTATGTAACTTAAAATATTCAGTCTTATGCAATCTGTTAAGACTAGACTTTCAAATACCATCGTTCAATGTGGGGGTATAGCTCAGTGGCAGAGCATTCGACTGCAGATCGAGAGGTCGCCGGTTCAACTCCGGCTGCCCCCTTCTTGTGAAATTTTATTTTGAGCCTTATATAATTTATGAGTCATTTTACTTTCAAATATTCTTCATTACTGACGTTATCTAGTACACATTTTTTCAAATTATAATTTTTCAATCCATCAGAATTAATGGACATTGATAATTTTATTGTATTAGTGTGGCAAATCAATTAAGTGTAAATAAATTAATAACTGAGCTTTATAATGTTGATACAAACGTGGAGAGGCGATGATTCAGAGAACTCCTGATCACAGATACTTCATTGTACTGTGCATGGATAGGTATATATTAATAAGTGAAACAGTTGGGATTGGAAATTGGTCCACACACACACACGTATGTTTATATAGAGAATGAATATATATATATATATATATATATATATATATATATATATATATATTATAATGTATAATTATATAATTATTATACATATATAAGTACCTGTGATCTACATCAGGAATAATTGCTAATTATAACAAAGGAGACAATAATAATTAACGTAATGTGGGCAATGTACCATTGTACGTGACTACATACAATTTTATCTCTCATTTTTCAACGTTTTGCCACAATAAAATTAATTATTTATATTTACAATTAAATGGAAATCATTGGAAAAACATGAAATTCTACTTTAAATAAATTTTAAACAAAATAATTACAAAAAAATTTTCAGCTCTTCGCTGGCTTTCCATAAAACTTTTTTCCTTACGCAGCAAATTAAAAACATGTACTATTGACCCGAATTTTTCTTAGCTCGATTTGGTCATTTTTTCCTTCAAATTTAACATTTCGAACGTAATTTTTAGACATTAAAGTGATAAATTCAACAAAATCACCCATTATTTTAAATATGTCACTTAAGTAACATAGAGGCGACGTATTCCACAGGAAATGAATTCGATCAAATGACGTGGAAATGAATGGAAAGCTGTGCGTGCGGTGTACGTGCTTAAGCTGCCATTTATATCCTATTATTGTCGTCTGCCTGTTTGTTTGTAGGGCGTAAACTGTGCTCTGTAGCCATTTCAAAGTTTAATTTTCAATCATTTTCGCGTTCAAAGTTTACCATTTTACACTATTAAAGTTGCGTTTCTGCCTGTTTTTAGCTCGATCAGCGTTGGTTTCATGGAAGTGGTGCGTGCGTGCCATCGATGATTTCCGTCAAGATTTTTCCGAATTTTTTTTATTAACGGTGAGTCATCCGTTTATTTTGTTTTTGATTCAAATGTCGAAGATTCATTTATTTGAGAGAACAATATTTGGAATAATATTGTTGATGTTGATCTGATTTAAAAATTTTAAACTGGCTGGAAAGGATGTTGATTTGAAAATTTTTAATGTCCTAGCTAGTGTCTGTCTTCCTTTTTAAAATGAAATATGTTACAATTACAACAATTTGTTTCATTTCATTTTGTTACTAACCAGCTAGTTAATTCTGAATTGGAATTTATAATTTTTTACATAAAATATAATTAGTGAATGATAGATTAATTTAGTTAATTATTAAATTTATTAAATCATTAATTATTAAATGAATGCCAGTTTTGTTGGTATTATTCATTTTTATATTAATTTATTTTAAATTTTTATTATTTTTTTTCCAGATTGTGATTTGTAAATATTTCAAAGTCCAACTAGATTGTAAATAAAAAGAGCAGTTTTAAATTATTTTCTGTACAAGAATAACACATTCCACTTTGTTAAATTAAATGCCATTCCTGTGAAAATTTGCTACAAATATAACATGCCTTCTTTTTAATATAAAGTTTGAAACCATTCCATCTCTAATAAAAATGTCCAAAGGTTCAAGAGAGAAATTAGAGAGACTCATAAGGGAGTCTCTCTTACAGATTTGTAAATCGAACATTCAATCATTATGTGAAGTAGATGGAATTATATGCATCAGCATTCAGGACTCCAACTCCGAACCTGAGCAGTTAGTGATTAGGATTCATGAAAATATGAAAACCAGTCAAAGTTTTGTTGCTCACCACAAAAATGTGCCCTACAATGACCCATACATGAGAAACAAAGTTGAAATTTTATCATCTGATCAGGCAAGTGCACTTAAACTCTACCTATCTTCGTCGTCATCATCTGCGCTGTCGTCATCTTCAATTTTGACAGAAAGAGAAAATAGGACGGCATCCCCCAGATTAGGCTTTACAGGGATGCGCCCGGTGAGGCATCAGTTCATCATCAACAACAACAACAACGCCCACCCTCTACATTCAGGTATCCTGACTCAACTGGTTAAAAGGCAGAGTAGCGGCAACATTCCTCTCACCAGTGCCACCAACAACAACAGCTCCCATAGTTATGTCTTCAATCTATCCACAAATCGAGATAGAAATCCAGCTAGTAAACTAAACAACAATCTTGCTCATACCAGCCACAACACATTCAGCAACACATACAGCAACAACAACATAGCCAGTGATTTGAGTATCAAACAGCAGAAACCAAATTTCACTACCTCCAACACATCATCCTCATCAACAACATTTGCATGCGGTTTGTGCCTACACAGTTTCTCAACCTATGATTCATTGGAAGTTCACTTTTCGTCATTTCATTCCTCGACACTCACACACTTCTGCGATGACTGCAACATTGGGTTTGAATGCGAGTTCGACTGCTTGTCACACAGATCCAACGTTCACAAGGCCCATCAGGTAACTGCGTCCAACTCTGTCGACGAAAACAAAAATATTAATGACAATAATGATGCCAACAACAGCAGCGTTAACAACAACAACAATGCTAAAAATGTGCCTTATTCAGACTGCAATGGAAATAGGGTGGAAGAAAACTGGAGAGACAACAACAACAACAATGAAGATGATGATGACAGCAATACCATTAAAGACAACAACAACAACAACAGTAGCAATAACAATAATGACCTCAAGTTGCCACAGGACAACATCAACATGTTAACCACCAACAACAACAACAACCTCATTGATAACAATACAGAACTCACAGACAACAAACCATCATCCCCAGCAACAACAACGGCAGCAGCCATCACAAACAGCAGGCGAAAGCAGTCGAACCCCAAAAAGGGAATCATGGAATGGAATCAGGGACAAGCAGCAGAGGATCTCGTAGAGGGAGAGGATGACGATGACGAGTTGGATGAAGATGATGACGAGGATGATGATGAAGATGATGATGACTACAACGGTGGAAATGGGATTGATGGTGACAGTTCGGTAGCAATGTCCTTGAAGATGTTTGAATGTAATAATAACTTACTTTCCGAAACTAACCGTAATGTGGTTTCAGACAGCCATGATAACAACAACAACAATGCATCAAATGACATCAACAAGCAAACAAGCAGTCCCATCGACACTTCTCACCATGACATTAACAACAACATCAACGTTTCCATACTCCAACAAGCCACAAATTCGTCCGTACATTTCACTACAATCACACCCCATCGTCATCAGACATCAATCCTAACCTCACCGTCACCATCTTCACTTTACAACAACAACAACGACAGCACTTTGAAATGTCCTCTGTGTCCAGAGTCCTTCGCAACTTTTCTTAACCTCGAGGACCACTGCTACGTGGAGCATCGTAAATATCTCTGTAACATCTGCCCTATGACTTTCAGCCAGAAGGTCACGAAGGATCGACATATTTACCAGCAGCATGCGGGCAACAAACCGTTTCCGTGTCAGGACTGTGATTCGAGTTTCACGAGGCGAGATGCCCTGAGGAAGCACCAAGTCAAATGCTGTCACGGGCTGTACAGAAGTGGCAGCAGCAGCAACCGCAGCCACAGCAGCAACAACAACAGTGGTAGTGGTAGTAACTTCGTGGCGACCATCGGCAACAATCCTGTCAATGGAGGTGAGGGTAACAAGGATGGACCGTTGAAGATCATCATCCAAAAATCAGGCATTGTGGACTTCTCCCACAGTGCCAACATGATATCTCTCATCAACAGATCAGTCTTGAAGAAGGACGCAAACGTAAGCGAAGACAAGATCGGTGGAATGGTTGTCGATTACTCCAAACTGACGCAGAAGATCCTTACCAGTGGCAGCAACCACAACAACAATGAGGTTGGTGAGGATTGTGGGTTGGACCTCTCCAGAACATCCTTGACCTCCTCTCCTTCAAGGTCAAACTTCATGAACATCTCTAGAAGGTTGGTTATTGGTGGCAGTGCTGCTCCTTCACTGCTACCACCACAACAATATGACGGTAGTGAGTCGGCAATGGTCATCGACGATGAGATACATCTCCAGCAGACACCCAACAAAGTCACCACCATGACACCACCTTCGTATCATTCATTCGACGCCAACAACATTAACAGCAACAACAGCATTATGACATCGACATTGTCAGCCTCATTGCCGGCTTCACCGTCGTCTCTGGCTGCATGCACCACGAAGCAGTACACGTGCGACAAATGTGAGCTCATCTGTGATGGGGCTATCCCGTACAAGGAGCACTGTAGACTGGTCCACAGAAGAACGCCCTGCCTCCACTGCGGAAAAACTTTTTCGCAGAAAGGCAACATGGAGCGCCACCGCCGACAGCACACTGGGGAACGCCCTTTCTCCTGCACCATCTGCTCCTGCTCCTACACCAGGCGGGAGACCCTCAAGTCCCACATGAGCCAGGCCCACGGGATCAAGTTGATGCCCCAGATGCCTAACTCGTCGTCGTCGTCGACTGCCACAAGTTCAAAAGTGGGCGGGGCTAAGAATATTAATAGTGCAAATATTAATAATGGGAGTGTGGTTTTGAGTGGGTTCGTTGCGGGTAGTGCTGTCGGTGGCAGCGGTGGTGGTGGTGGTGGGTTCTGTGGGGTGAAGATGGATGGAGGAGATGCGTTGGAACAGATTTATGGGAATGTGCTTGAGATCGCCCCCATCAGGCGTGCCTCCAATGCGGCCGATGAAGATGACGACGAGGAAGAGGAGGAGGAGGAGGAGGAGAATGACGATGATGCCACTTTCGAGGAAGACTTCAAAAGTAATGATAACGTCATGGATGGTAGTGGGGGTGGTGGGGGTGGTGGTAGTCGAGATGTCGACGACGACGACGACGATACTAGTAGTAGTAGTGGTGCTGGAAGGTTGTACATTAAGGAGGAAGACAGCCGCCTGGCTGGCGCGACGACTGGCGATGACGTCCAGACGATGATGGTGGTGGCAGAAGATGACAACAGTAATAATAATAATAATAATAACGATAATAACAATTGTAATAATGCTGATGATGATAATGATAACATGAAAGGGCGCGATGCGATTGGCTACACTGATGATGATAACAATAACGATGATAAAGTTGATGAAGAAGCGGAGAAGGACGACGACGACGACGATGATGATGATGATTATGTCGGTGGTAGTAGTAGTAGTAGTAGTGGTGGTGGTGGTGGTGTTGTTGTTGTTAATGATGGTAAAGCTTTCACCAGAAACGGTGGAAAACGAGCCAAAATCATTATACGTAATGATGATAACAATAATGATGATGATGATTGTGCTGATGATGATCATGACAATGGTTTGAGGAGAAAAGTCAGGGTGACTAGGAATAGCAGTAAAGTTGAATCGTCATTGAGATGATGGTGTTGATGACGATGATGGTGATGGTGGTGATGATGATCGTTACCTTGATAGATTTTCATGATGATGGTGATGATAATGTTGTTGGTTTAATGATAATAATGATGACTATACAATATTAATGTTAACATCAATTTACTTTTGTTTTTTGTGTAAAAAATCGTAATTAATTTATCATGTGTGTATCTGTGTGTGTGTGCGTGCGTGTGTGTGTGTGTGTGTGTGTGCGCGTGTGTGTGTGTTTATATGATATGTGTGTGTGCAATGGATGTACAATTTTTTAAAGCCTTGCTCAAATACTGATTTTATGACACTATTTATGACAATAATAATTATTATTAATTATATTTTATATATATATATATATATATATATATAAAGAAATAAATAAATGAATATATATATATAAATATATATTTATATAGATTATTTAGATTCATATATTTTATAATTTGTTATATCATATTCATGTAGACACACACACACACACACACACACATATATATATATATATATATATATATATATATATATATTTATATATATGTTGGAAGAAGTCCATATAGATATATTTATATATTGTTTTTACCTTATATGTGCCTTATAACAGACCAAAAACAGTTAATATATATATATATATATGTATATCATTTAACATGTTAATTAATTACGCTTATTTATAATAATAATTTTAATAATAATAATTGTAATAATAATAATTGTAATAATTTGGTTTGGTTTTGAGACCATGTGCATGATTTTTTGGTTTCGTTTATATTAAATTTTCTTTGTTATTGAATTTTACAAATTTTTATTGTATGTATGTTTGTTCATTCGTTCATCCATTTTATTCGGTCGTTCAGTCGTTCTCTCTTCTTTCATTCGGTTTTTCCTCCATTCCTTGTTCATTCATTCATTCATTCGTTTGTTCGTTCGTTCATTCGTTCATTCACCCGTTAACTCATTCATTCACCCACTAATTCATTCATTCATTCCTTCTTCTTTTTTTAAATACACCACCATTCCATCTGTTCCAACTGTTGTTATTTTATTATTCCATTATTAATTTTCTTGATATACTACAACTTTTAAGATGCCTTATTTTATCATACACACACGTACACACACATACATACACATACACACGCACATACAGATATATTTATATATATATATATAATATTGTTATTTTAACTGACATAGCCTTATATAATATTACGCAGACTTTATTTTTGTAATTTTCCACCATTACATTCTTTTACAAGATGACTCGATGTTGTTAAGTTTCAGTTAACTGCATTATACTGCTGCGAAGATAAATGTAGAAGACGGTGATGATGATGATGATTGTGATGATGATGATTGTGATGATGATTGTGATGATGATGATGATGATTGTGATGATAGGCATACGATGATGATGATGATGATGACGACGGTTTCACGAGATTGTAGTAGAGTCGTATATATTTTTTAGCGCTATATTATTTTTAATCGTTTTTGGCGATGTTGTTGTTTTTTTGGTTTAAATTTTACAAACAAGAAAAACACGGACAGCAACTATGACGAAAATGACGTCATCAATAAGACCAACTACGACATCATAATCAGCATCTTCATCGTCATCATCTTCATCGTCGTGAACAGAATGCCTTGATAGGTTGTTCCAATTTGTTGATTTCATAGATGCCTTATTCTGGGTGCATATATATATATATATTTTTTTTTTTTTCATCGTGTATGGAAGGCTTATTTTGTTGTTGTTGAAGTTTTTTAATGTTGTTGTTGATGATGATGTTGTTGAGGTTTTTTGTTAAGGTTTTTTGTTGACGTAATGAATAATATTATTGAATGCTACATTGATATGAAATATTCCATTAATTCCATTTAACCTAACTGTCTTATAACCTTATTCGTGATTGGATTCTTATGCGCTTGATCGCTTATTGTCCATCCATCCATTCATTCACCCGTACATCCATCCGTTTATAAGTTCACTCAGTTACGTATTGATTCGTTAATTCATTCATTCATTCTTTCATTCACTCTTTCATTCACTCTTTCATTCACTCTCATTCACTCTTTCATTCATTCATGTTTTATTTCAATCCATCCACCAATCAGATCTCTTTTTCTAATTAAAATCGCCATTATTTATAATCATTTGTGTTGTTATTATTATTATTATTAACTCGATCTCTCGCTCATCATTCATTTTTCCGTTACGTCTCCATATTGTTATATCATTTTCGCGCGCTTTTTTATTGATTCGCAATTGTAACCAAAGAGAACAAAAATTAGTTTTTACATCTTCAAAATTATTGTAATTAATATTTTTAATTTAATTGTTTTTGTTTGTTTGTTTTTGTTTGTTTGTTTGTCTTCATTTGTCTTTGTTCGTTTGTTTTTGTTGTCATTGTTCGTTTGTTTGTCACTGTTTGTTTGTCATTGTTTGTTTGTCTTTGTTCGTTTGTCTTTATTTGTTTGTCTTTGCTTGTTTGTCTTTATTTGTTTGTCTTTGTTTGTTTGTCATTATCTGTTTGTCTTTGTTCGTTTATCTTTGTTTTGTCTTTATTTGTTTGTCTTTGTTCGTTCGTTCGTTTGTTTGTTTTCTTTTCTCCAAAATTTTCATGATTCAGTTTACATTTTAAACCCTTAATTTAAAGAAATCGTTTTTCGTAGTTTTTTTTAATGCTTTTCACAATATTTGGTTCGGGTTTTTATGATATATTCTGTACAGTAAATGTACACACACGCGCGCGCACACACACACGCACGCACATTGATACAAACATATATTCCATTCCATACTTTCAAATATTAAACTAAATTGTATCATAAGCTTTCATCCTACCATTATTCATCTAGCTAATTCATTAATTTACTCATTTGCTGCCTTCAACCATTCATTCATTCATCCATTCATTCATCCATTCATTCATTCATTCATTCTTTCGTTCATTTTTTTTATATGAATTTTACAAATTAACGATAATTGTATATGTAGATTGTGTATACATCTGTATAAATGTTGTTAAATATTAAATTATAGAATAGTAATAATAATAACAATAATAATATATAATAATAATAATATGTAATAATTATATATAATAATAATAGTATTCTTTCGAATGTTTTAATTTTGATTTTTTTTCATTGATTGTTTTTGTACGTTACGGACGTTAATGAACGATAAAATGAATTTTAAATACAAATTCTTCTTTTGGTCTTCATTGTTGTTGTTGTTGTTGCTGCTGTTGTTGTTGTTGTTACTGTTGTGAAAAATTGAAATATGGCAGTTGCAACATCGTTCCCTATACAAAATGAGAAGATTCAAATCACAGTGACAGAGGCCCGTCTGTAGGTTGTACAAATTCTCAACATAGACTGCAACAAGTGCTGAATATGATCGAAGGATCGAAATAGGTCCTGTACACTCGAGAATGAATTGAAAAACTATATATTATTCTAACTTGCAAGTGTGTGTGTATGTACGTGTGTGTATGTGTGTGTGTGTATAGATAGAAACCTTTGAGAATTAAATTAAAATAACGGCATACAATAGCGGTAATTATATTAAACATAATAATAATGACATTAATACAAATGTATTAAAACGCAGACAGAGGCTGTATGAATGTAAAATACCGTTTGTGAATAAGGCCTGAGTCGGTTGGTTGAAATGCACATGTTGGTGTCATTTGCAAGGTAATTACGGTGAAATTATATTTCTACCATTTAAAATAATTGTTTTTTTTTATCATATATAAACGGTAAAACGATAATGATATGGAGCAGGGGTGGGCAAACTTCGGCCCAATGCGGCCCGCAAAGCAATTTTGTGCGGCCCCGCCAAAAAAGGAGCCGCAAATCTTAAAAAATTCTCCCCCGGGTCGAAAAATTTGCTATTTAAATACAACATATGCGGCCCTTCAAAGGTCAAATAGTTCTCAAAGCGGCCCTCACAGCAAAAAGTTTGCCCACCCCTGATGTAGAAAATGATAATAATTGTTTCGCATTAACGCTGGTTTGTTTATTCGTTCATTCATTCTTTTCATTCGTTTGTTCGTTCGTTCGTTCATTCGCTCATTTGTTTATTTACAATTATATATATTTGTAGATGTAGATGGATAGAGCGAGATAGAAAGACAAGGTGAAAAAGAAAGAAGAGAAGGAGAAAAAGTTAGAGAAAGAAATAAAGAGAGAGGTAGAGAGAGAGAGAGAGAGAGAGAGAGATAGAGAAAGAGATGAAGACCTTCATTTCAAGTGGTGGATTGCTTTTCTTCTTCGTTCGTTTGTTGATGATGCATCGTCACTTCTGACATGTTGTTAGACAACTGTTGCTTTCCTGCGTTGTTAGTGTTTGCTTGTTTTTGTATGTTTGTTTGTGTTTGTATGTTTGTTTGTTTTGTTTGTTTGTTTTTGTATGTTTGTTTTTGTATGTTTGTTTTCATTTGTTTGTTTGTTTGTTTGTTTATTAGTTATTTGTTTTTATGTCTTTACGTTTGAATGTTTGCTTTGTTGTTGTTTGTTTGTTTGTTGTCCGTTTGTTGGCATTAACAACACTAACACCATTTCAACAACAACATCACCAACATCAACAACACGAACATCAACAACAACACCAACATCAACAACAGCAACACCAACATCCTGACAGCAACTGAGAACCCTCCTCTGACTGTCGTACAAATCGCACCAGTTTTTAAACTCGCCGATCCACGTACGCTCAAAGTCGCTACCCAACTTGCAGTATTCTTGATGATGATTACAATGTTTATTATTATTATTGTTGTTGTTGTAGGTTATTATTATTTTTATTAATGTACAACTAGCCAGACAGCCAACCAGCCAAACTAGCCAGCCAGCCAACTAGCCAGACAGCCAACCAGCCAAACTAGCCAGCCAGCCAAACTAGCCAGCCAGCCAAACTAGCCAGCCAGCCAACCAGCCAGCCAGCCAACCAGCCAATTATTTCACCGACCTGTAATAGACACCTGGTACTGAGCTAGTATTGTACTGCTATATGCATCTCTACATTCGTATTTACCTGGTGATGGTAGTGATTGTGATGACGATGATGATGACGACGATGATGATGATGACGAAGACGATGATGATAATAGTGACAAACCGACCGACCTGACATGCTAAAAGTAGCGTTGAGTATCCTTAATGTGAAATCTTTCTTGTTCAGGATCATCATGTTTTCTGATTCAGCATTGTTGTTGTTGTTGCTGCTGCTGTTGTTGTTAAAACTCAATGGATCTTGATTGTAATTAATCTCATTAATGTAATAATTATCGCCATAATTATTATTATTATTGTTGTTGTTGTTGCTGTTGTTGTTGCTGCTGCTGCTGTAGAAGTAAGCAACAACATCAGCAGCATCGTCATTGTTGTTGTTGAATATAGGTTTGTCGTTTAAAAACCAAACTGGGAACGAACCAAATGTGGGTGAACACGCAGACGAACACGAGAACATGCCGTTTAAACCGTTTATCAGGGTTCGTAGTTTAACCCCGTCACCTGATTGGTTGGTTGGTTGAGATAGGATTGGTAGATAGATAGATAGATAGATACCATTTTGATTGGTTGTCATTTTACGCGTTTGTTTAGTTGATTGATTGATTTGATTTGATTGGTTGATGAGTAATATGGTTGGTTGGTTGATTCGATTTGATTGGTTGATGACTTTAATTGGATTGGATTTAATTGGTTGAGGAATTGCATGATTGATTGATTGATTGATTGATTGATTGATTGATTGATTGATTGATTGATTGATTGATTGATTGATTGATTGATTGATTGATTGATTGATTGATTGATTGATTGATTGATTGATTGATTGATTGATTGATTGATTGATTGATTGATTGATTGATTGATTGATTGATTGATTGATTGATTGATTGATTGATTGATTGATTGATTGATTGATTGATTGATTGATTGATTGACACAAATTTAACAACTCACTGCATTTGACAGGATCGCTGCTCTGAATATTGCTAAAAATAAAAATATGGTTAGTCCTCATTTAGGCAACCATCATCATCATCACCACCACCATCATCATCACCACCACCATCAACACCATATCATCATCATCACCGCCATCACCTTACCCGCTTTTGACCCGACACTGAGAGGACCCCCAAAAGCAGTGGGGGTCGGAGGTGCATGTGGTGTGGCTGTTGTGGTTGCCACACATAACTGCGTTCAGTTGCAGCACGTGCGTGTCAGTCGTTATGTAAATATATTGACTCTGTGTGTGTTGGTCGGTGG